GCGGTAATTTTGTATGTCTGTTTGTATGCCCGTTTGTGCGTCCTTCCCCACGTAGGCATAACGAAGAGTGCGAATGTCAAGTGAGCGCGGTGAGGGAAACAGTTATCAAGTGGGAAGTGAACCTATACTGTTCCTATTGGTCCTTTAACAAGTCGTAGGTGAGAGGTAGTGGGCATGTGGTACGCGCATTAGCGTGCGTAGCCCAACTGGTGATACATAGGTGATGTTGCATAGCAGTTTTACCCACTAGATACGGCTAGGATAACAGAAATGCTCTGCAAAGCGAATTTCATTAACACCTTAATAAAAACTGCATCTCAATAAACTATGTGAGCTGATGATCCTTTCCCGACCTGTTCATGCCCGGACGTTCTCCCACATATGTATGTATCTGAAAAGGGTCCTAAAGATGGACTAAAATCTCAACGCGGTGGGAGGGTAAAACGGGTGACATGTGACGTTTCGGCTTTAATCAATCTTAGTTTTCTGCAAAATAGTAACAGTCCTGCTTTTTCAAATTTTGGCATTTTATCATGTGCTCTGATGCAAAGTTCTGGTACTTCAGTCATGCGGGAATCTATCTTGACCGGCAAGCCGCTTCGCGTTAGAAGCTGAGGTGAGGAATGCGAGGAATCGGAGGGATGGATGTTTTTGTTTGAATCCCCCTTGTCCATCCGCCTTGAGTTGCGCTTCAGTTCATTATTTACGCGTTAAGTTGCACACAGCAAGACCCGGTAGATTACGTCTGAATTACTGCATTCTGCACTGACAAGGAAGGTCTTTCAGGGCGTGGGACGCTTTTCGAAAATGGTTTTTTGCATGGTATGGGGGCATGAGCACTGAGTACAGAACTATGGTCCATTTCCGCAAAATGACCTTCTGAGTGCCAAAAAAGAAGTGAAAATGATTTTGTCAAAAATTGCCATTTTAACCCACTAGGCCTTGTTAGTTTTATTCATGACGTCGACTGTCCGCACAGTAGAAGGCACCAGTGGAGTGCGCATGGAAAATAACGTGAACGGTAGCCAAAAAAGGAACCACGTGTTGAAGCATGTTGAATGGTACGTCTGGGGGAAGATGAATCAGATTCTCTTTCAAATCTTTCTCTTGCTGAAGGATCTATGAGTATTGGGCTTGATATAAAAAACTGTCACCCCTGAAAGAAACCATTCAAGTACCAGATCACTAGATTAATGATTAGATGAAGGGTTTGGGTAGTACCCGTTCCCAGCATACAATCGCCTAACTCCGCATCCTGCTATGAAGGGCTGGCAGACCGCGATCAAGAATGCCAATCAGCTTTTCTAATGAGAGGTGAAAGGACCGCATTTAATAGGATTCAGAGGAGCAC